TGTTACAAAACCAAACTTTACTGCTAGACACAGAATCTTACGTAAGTATTTCTCTACACCTAATTGTGTCTGACACATCAACCCTCATGACCCCAGTAACTGAATCAATCCATCTAATTGCGGGTCTTCCTCTCTTGTGCTGTCCCGAGACCCTTCGTAGAATGATGTTCCTATTTAAGGACTGGTCCCTCTTACAACATGGTCAAAGTATATCATACGAGACCTCAGAAAGCTCGTCTTCAAGGATATGTCTGGTTTCGTCCTCACCATGACGCACTTGTTTGTTCCCTTGGCAGTCCAGGGTATAGTATCTTCTCAAGCACCTCAACTCAGAGGCATCAATTCTCCTGTGGGGATCACTAGTCATTGTCGAGCTTTCAGATGCATGGTAAACAACTGCAAAGACTCTAGCCTGGATCATGGGCACATTAGTCTCCAGACTGACGTCATTGCTCTTCACTACTAGGGAAAGGTCTCTGAGAGCAGACTTTACCAACGTAATTTGTCTCTTAATTTTCTGAGTACTAGTATGAAGTGTGTTGATTGTGGAGTCAAGCAAACTAAACCGGTTCACAATCTCAATCTCATCACCATCTATGATACTGCTGCCAATCAGCCCAGCAGTGAGAATATTTGTTTTCTTGATGAAGAGCATCAATCTATATGGAAGGCTGCAGTCCCAGACCTTCGGTAGTAACAGCTTCAGGTCCTCCTCAATTTCAGTAAGTGGGTCCTTGTTATCTGTATAACACGGGCTGTTGATGAGTCTTCCTCCAATTCTGATACCACATTCCTCTTCACAGAGCCCGGCTTCCCGGATGACGTGTCCTGCATAGAGATTGAAAAGGCATGGAGACAGAATACATGCCTGGTGTACACCCTACCCAGTGTTTAACTATGCATGTCTTTCCTTGCTCTGTTCTGATGACTCCCTCCTGGTCCGAGTATAGATTTCACATAAGCACAATCAAATATTCTGGAATTCCCATTCTTCCCAGAGTTAGCCACAGTTTGTTGTAAGCATCACAATCAAAGGCCTTTCCATAGTCAATAAAACGTATGGAAACATTCCTGTGGTACTCTCTGCTTTCAGCCAAGATCCATCTGACATTAGCTATACTATCTCTAGGACCACAGCCTTTTTGCAACTCAGCCTGCACATCTGGCAGTTCTCTGGCGAGGTACCGTTGTCGTCATTTAGGGATCATTTTCAGCA